AGTATATGAGAGAGAGAGAGAGAGAGAGAGAGAGAGAGAGAGAGAGAGAGATCCTTTGGGTTTTAAGATGAGCTAGATAACAGGGATAGAAACCAACTGTCAGCTTTAAAATCTCACAATGTCTGAATTCCGTTAACTTGCAGAGTTCAGGTAACTTCATGAGGCTAATATTTGCATGAAATAACTACCATTCATTTTAGAATTGATAATCCACTCAAGAAATGCAACATTAGATGGGTAGAAATCGATTAATATACTTATCCAAAATAGAAAAAGAAAAAAAGGAATCGATTAATATCATTTTCTATTTTACATATTTTACATCTCATGAGCGTACAATGTTTATGTTGAATGATATCAAGCATATAAAACCACGAAATAAACTTCATTCAATCTACTTAGATTTTAATCTTTAAATTAATTTTCGAAAATGGATACTCTGAAATCTGCATCATTTAATGATGTAATGTATGGATACTATAAAAATGTCTAGAAACTCTTGTTTTTGATGTGTGCATAGCTCGGCTCTGGCATCATAGTTCATTTATTAGATAAACAGTTTTGTAGAAATAAATAGCATGGGAGTTATATTTGATCGAATGATCATCTTAGTTCAATTGAACTGATCATCTTCTGTGTCATGGAAACTGAACATATTACTTTCGTCCTTACCCCCACTCTTCTCAGTTAGGATACATGCTAACCAGTTCTTGATCGTCGAATCTTGACAGTTACGCCTGGTTTCAGGAAGTTCTTCACTTCGTACTTTCCCATTCCCAAAAAATCCTTGACTTGTGAATAAAAGTTCATGCTATTTACATTTAATGTTCTAAATCTGAACTTGATTTTAAATCTAATCTTTGCATAGAAGAAGAAATTCTGAATACTTGAGCACACAATTACTGATTTATTAGGGAACTAATGTTGTGCTCTGACTTATATATGGGGCTTCTGATCACTTTTTGCTGTCTAAAATCCAAATTTTCTATATTAGGGAACTAATGTTGTGCTCTGACTTATATATGGGGCTTCTGATCACTTTTTGCTCTCTAAAATCCAAATTTTCTATATAAAGACCTGTTCTTTGAATGAGATCTCTCTTCTTTGGCGGTTAATGAGATCTCTCTTCTTTGGCGCTTAATGAGATCTCTCTTCTATTTCTAAGCTAGGCATTGGCAGCAAAATAGGGAATCCCTTAAGGAGCGCAACGATCCTCGGAGTATATCTTCCACATTTAGATTTTATTATTGGATTCATACAATGAAGCTTGAATTCCCAACTTTGGTCTTCACAATTCTTACTGTGCACAAATGGGTATGGTTTCTGTATCTGAAATATCTTAGTTTGTAATGCTGTCATTAGTCCATGTCTGTTCGACTTTCTTTAGTAGTGTCACAACATTTATTTCTTAGCGGGTCACTCTAATAATAGTTCTTTCTGATATATCACCCAAATAAAAGCAGTTAATAATTGCACAGTCACAGTAATCTTCATAGAGAAGGAAACAAAAGAATGATGTATTAATCAGATTGATTTTGTCTTGGATCAAAATATCATAAACTTGAGATAAACTGGTTAATGTTAAGTGTGATCAGAGTATCGTGGTAATTCAAGAGGAAACTGGTCTCTGTTTAGTGTGGCATTGAGGCTACACAAAATAACACTTTCTGCGGATTTCCCTCCTAAATGGTCATAACAGAATGAGCCCCTCCCTAAATGTAGGCGGCAGTCATAAGTTATTCTCGCCGTCGATGAACTTTGGTGGTGGTGGTGGTGCTGTTTTAGTCTTTTTAAGCCAGTCTAACCTACAAGTGTCACAAAAATGATTGAATTATTCTAAATACTAAGTGTTTGTGATGGGGATGTAATGGTTCTTCTCTACTACCAATTTAGAGATTATTTGCAGTAGTCGCCAAACATTTCGAATCATTGATATCAATGGTACGGATGTTTCGTCCTTTTTGCTTCAAGATTAGAGAATTGTCACAACAATTGATGAATGTTTCAAACTTTCAGATCAGCTGGTGGAGGTGCTTTGCTCCTTCTTCAGTTTATAGAACAGTAAAGAGTTATCACTCCATATTTAAATTTTGGGTGACGAGGTAGAGTTTTCTTGATCCTTTTCTCCTTTGAATTGAGAGAATGGTGACAGTTAATCACTGAACATTGGAATAATCTCTGTAGGGGGTTGTTTTAGTCATTTTTCCCTTAGAATTTGGAGAATGGTTGAATTAACTGATAATATTTCAATTATTCGGACTTCATGGTGGGAGTTTTGGTGCTTTAGAGCATCCAATATAGAGAATAACTGCAGTAATGGCCTCATACTTGGAACATTTGATATATGTGATAGGGTCATTTTGGTCTTTTTACCTTTTAATTTAGAGAACAATCGCAACAAGCTAATGGTACGTGCATTGCACAATGGTCTAGTTTAGATCAAAATTATTTTAACGATATATTATTTTAATAATTATTGACTGTTTTATCCATTTTTTAAGTCAACCATCAATTTTTATAGGCAATTTTTGTAATTGGACAAGTATTTACTTAATTATTCATATTTATTTCATTTTTTATTTCCTAAATTTCTCACGTGTTCTAATATCTCTCCCATAGATATTTGATTTTGTTGAGATGAGTGTAAGCTGTTTTGATAATTGTAGGAATTACTATTAACTTGAATGTCAAAAGAATTTAGAGACGGGGAGATATTCTAGGTAAATTGCATGGATACTAAAACAGGATGTTGATTTCTTTGAAAGAGCCTTATTTTATCAAAAATTCTAATATCACAATTCAAAAAGAGAGGAAAATAATTTAAAAACCTGTGGGGAAAAAGGAATCATGGAGATAATTGAAACCTTATTTTATGTATTAGTACATATACTAGCCAAAATTTTTAGATATTTGGAGTTTTTAGTGGGAGTGCTGTGAAGCCTTTCTCAATCTAGTTGGTACATTATTCAAGAGTGCCATGAGACCCAAAAAAAGATTCATGATTTCAATTGTTGAATTTCAATGTATGGTTTTCAATTTTATTTTATTTGGGTGTGGGTAGATTTGAAATTCAGACATTATAGGAGTAGGGCCCTTTAAATAAGACACGTGTTTCTTTCTCATGCACATTGAATTAGTTGTAGTGCATGGGAGTTTTAGGACGTATTGGAGTGGTGAGTGATTGACGGTTCATTTCTTCATGTTGATTGAGCTTTTACACGATAACTCCCTCTCTCTCTCTCTCTCTCTCTCTCTCTCTCGTACGTCGTACTACTATACTTATTATTAGTTAGTTAGTTAGTAAGTAGTACGTAGTATTACGTTCGTTACGTTACGTTTACGTTTACGTT